GCTAAGGGACAGCCTATCTCTGGAACAGGAAAACTAAAAATGGACAATGTATTATTCCTAGAGTAGTCATTGTTGGCTTAAGCATAGGTATCTAAACCATTCTGCAATTTGTAATGATCCAGTATACATATAACTATTTCCCCCTCATACACATAGTGCAGACTCATCAGGAATAAAATCAAGTCTGGCAATAAACAAAAGAATCTTCTATATAAATTATTATAATAAAAATTAATATTTACTTGAAAATGTTCCATGTGTGAGGCTCTGGGCTGAACATTTTTACAATTATCATATTTGATTCTGCAAAAAATCCAACAAGTACTACTATCATCTGCATATTGCAGATGAGGCAACTAAAATTTAGAGAGGATAAGTAATGTCCATTTCATATCTGAGAATTAATACGGCTGGTCTTAAAGTAAGATCTGCATAACTTTAAAGTCAATTATTTTAATTAATTGCTATAAATTTTGAATATTGGACTGAAATAATGGCAGAGTGATCCAAGAGAACAAGACTTCCAGGATCACAGGATGTACTGTCGACTACTTTTTATTCAACAAGTAATCTATATTAGTCTTTGGTTGAGTAATGTCTTGAATTTTTTAATCTCTATAAAGCTCTCACAGAGCAGAAATCAAGAGTCCTTTGCTTTATCCCCCATAGGGCTACCACAGCTAGGAGGCAGGAATGCTGTGGCTGTTCCATTGATAAATTTTTATTTTATAATATTTTATATACAACTATTCATATATTATATATATTTAAATTTAGTTATGTGAAAATCCAAATGAAGTATATGAACACATTGATTATACGAATAGCAATTTTCAAAACAACTTTTTATAAAGTTAAGGTAAAGGACAGACAGTAAAATGATTTTTTTCCTCTTGCTTTTGTCCCTAAACAACCTTTATTTACAATTCAAATATCAATTTTCTGCTCTTATTTGCTCTTTCCTACATTGCCCATAAACAGCCAAAATATTAAATTAGAGGAAAACAAAATACAAAGGGGAAATGATGTTTACCATTTACCATTAAGACAAAAATAAAAATGAAAATAAAACTTATCCCCCCCAAAATTTGGGAGTCCATTTTCTTTTTCTCCAAACTCATAAATTGTTCATAAATAATGTTCATTATCATCATGTGACTATCTAATAATAAATAAATTTAGATGACACTGATTTTCACTAATAAGGAATGATCTATATTCATATTTCTGTAAATTAATTCAAATTCATCTTCTCCTCAATTTTAGTAACTGAAGAGATATTTCCTCAGAAAGTGAAGCATATGACCAGCTTCATAAACTTTACTCTTCTTATAATGCTGTTCTCTACAAAACTAAAAAGTAGAATATATTCCATTGTCTGTAAGAGTAACGTTGTAAAAGAATTTAAGGAAATAGCTTTGGTATTAATATATAAGGCTTTTGCTTCCACATGGCAACAGAGCTATGGGATCGGAGAGATGTTCTTACTTGCATAGTAAACATTGTGATTGTTTTTCCTATGGGACTGAAAAGTGTAATATAAATGGTGTGCATTTGCTGGCAATATTCCCTTCGAAAGTTAAACTTATCTTATTTGGATACATACGTTCTCCAGAATTTTACCAGTGACATCAGTTGGACTACTTTGTTCAAAAAAACTATTAGCTAACAGATAACCTCAAAAATTGAGAAACATGACTTTACATAAACTGTGAGTTATGAGGAAATGTACCAGTTTTTAACATTTTCAAAATTCTGCATAGATATTTCTCCATAAAAATAAATGTTTCAGTAACTAAAATAACTTTGATATATTTCTATTTTTTCATCCTTAATGATAAAACTGTCCTTTTTGAGAGGGGGAAATTCATTTTTTTTACTTCATTATATAAACTATGTGTTTATAATTTACACAAACTGAAAATTTTAAAATTATACAAGCACATATTACTTAGGACCAGGAATGTAAGATTATTTTTATCTTTTATATTAAGTTTAGGAGGTGTATGTGCAGGTTTGTTATATAGGTAAACCCATGTCATGGGAGTTTGTTGTTCAGATTATTTTGTCACCTCAGTATTAAGCCTAGTGCCAATTAGTTATCTTTCCTGATCCCTCCTTCCACCTTCCACATGCCACCCTCCGATAGACCCCAGTATCTGTTGTTCCCCTCTATATGTCTATGTGTCCTTATCATTTGGTTCCCACTTAAAAGTGAGAACAGGCTTTTTTTGGATTCTTACATTAGTTTGCTAAGGATAATGACCCCAGCACCATTCATGTCCCTGCAAATTACATGATTTTATTTTTTATGGCTGCATAGTATTCCATGTTGTATATGTGCCACATTTTCTTTATCCAGTACATTTCTTTTTCCAGACATTTAGATTGATTCCATGTCTTTGCTATTATGAATAGTGCTGAGATGAACATACACAGGCATGTGTCTTTATAATGGAATGATTTATATTCCTTTGGGTATATACTCAGTAATGAGATTACTGGGTATTTTAATTTTAGGTCTTCGAGAAATTACCACATTATATTCCATAATGACTGAACTAATTTACATTCCTATCAACAGTTTTTACATGTTCCTTTTTCTCTGCAACCTCACCAGCACCTGGTATGGTTTGATTTGTATTTCTCCAACGATCCATAATGGTCAGCTTTTAAAAATATGCTTATTGTATTTCTTTTGAAAACTGTCTGTTCATGTCCCTTGCCCACTTTTTAATGGAATTGTTTGGTTTACTTGTGAATTTATTTAAGTTTCTTATAGATGCTGGATATTAGACCTTTGTCAGATGCATAGTTTGCAATAATTTTCTGTCATTATGTAGGTTTTCTGTTTACTCTGATAGTCTCCTTTGCTGTGCAGAAGCTGTTTGGTTTAATTAGATCAATTTGTAAATTATTGTTTTTGTTGCAATTGTTTTTGGTGTTTTTATCATGAAATATTTGTTGGTTCCTGTGCCGAGAATTGCTCCATCTAGGTCGTTTTTCAGGGATTTTGTAATTTTGCTTTACATTTAAGTCTTTAATCAATCTTCAGTTGATTTTTTATATGGTGTAAGGAAATGGGTTAAGTGTCAATCTTCTGCATATAGCTAGCCAGTTATCTCAGCAACATTTACTGAATAGAGAGTCCTTTTCCCATTGCTTTTTTGTATGTGTGTCAACTTTGTCAAAGATCAGATGGTTGTAGTTGTATGGTCTTGCTTCTAGGCTATTTTGTTCCATTGGTCTGTGCATCTGTTTTGTACCAGTAGCATGCTGTTTTGGTTACTATAACCTTGTAGTATGGTTTGAAGTTAGCATGAGTCCTCCGGCTTTTTCTTTCTTTCTTTCTTTTTTTTTTTTTTTTGCTTAGGATTACATTGGCTATTTGAGCTTTTTTTGGTTTCATATGTATTTTAAAATAGTTTTTACTAGCTCTGTGAAGAATAGCATTGATAATTTGATAAAAAATAATCTGTGCTGAATTGACACATTGCTCTGGATTCATATGTCTGTTTTAATGATATTGATTCTTCCTATCCATGAACATGGAATATTTTTCCATTTGTTTGGTCTTCTCTGATTTCCTTGGGCAGTGTTTTGTGGCTCTCCTTGTAGGGATCTTTCACTTCCATAGTTAGTTAGCTGTATTCCTAGGTATTTTGTTCTTTTTGTGGCAATTCTGAATAGGATTATGTTCCTGATTTTGCTCTTGGCTTGACTATTGCTGGTATGCTAGGGATTTTTGTACATTGATTTTGCTTCCTGAGACTTTGCTGACATTGTTTATCAGCTTAAGGAGATTTTGGCCCAAGACTACAGTGTTTTCTAGGTATTAGATCATGTTGTCTGCAAACAGGAATAGTTTGTCTTTCATTCTTCCTATTTGGATATCTTTTATTTCTTTCATTTCCTGATTGCTCTGACCAGGACTTCCAACAATATGTTGAATAGCAGTGGTGAGAGAGGACATTCATGTATTGTGCTGGTTTTCAAAGGGAATGCTTCCAACTTTTGCCCATTCAATAGAATGTTGGCTGTGGGTTTGTCATAGATGGCTTTTGTTATTTTGATGTATGTTCCTTCAATATTTAGTTTGCTGACAGTTTTGTTTTTGTCTCACTCTGTTGCCCAGCCTAGAGTACAGTGGTAATATCTCAGTTCACTGCAACTTCTGCCTCCTGAGTTCAAGTGATTCTCATGCCTCAGCCTCCTGAGTAGCTGGGACTACAGGTGCACACCACCATGCCCAGTTAATTTTTTTTTCCTTTTTTTTTTTTTTTTTTTTCATTTTTTTACTCTCATTACAGATGGGGTTTCACCATGTTGCCCAGGCTAGTCTTAAGCTCCCGGACTTAAGTGATACATCTGGTTCAGCCTCCCAACGTGTTGGGATCACAGGCATTAGCCACCATGCCTGGCCAGTCTGTTGAGAGTTTTTAACGTGAAGGTGTGTTGAATTTCATCAAAAGCCTTATCTACGTCTATTGAGATAATCATTTGGCTTTTATCTTTAGTTTTATTTATATGATGAATCCCATTCATCGATTTGCCTATGTTAAATTAACTTTGCATCCCAGGGATAAAGCCTACTAGATTACGGCAGATAAGTTTTAGATGTGCTGCTAGATTAAGTCTGCCAGTAGTTTGTTGAGGATTTTTGGATCGATGTTCATCAAGGATATTGGCCTAAAGTTTTCTTGTGTGTGCGTGTGTGTGTGTCTGCCAGATTTTCATTTCGTGATGATACTGGCCTCATAGAATGAGTTGGGGAGAAGTTCCTCCTACTCATTTTTTTGGAATAATTTTAGTGGCAATGGTACAAGCTCTTTTGTGTACATCTGATAGAATTTGGCTGTGAATCCATCTGGTCCTGAGCTTTTAAGGGTTGGTAGGATATTTATTACTGCTTTAATTTCAGAGCTCATTATTAGTCTGTTTAGGGATTAAATTTCTTCTTGGTTCAGTCTTGGGAGGGTGTATGTGTCCAGAAGTTTTGAAAAAATATGGAACATTTCATGAATTTACATGTCATCCTTGTGCAGGGGGCCATGCTAATCTTCTTTATATCTTTCCAATTTTAGTGCATGTGCTGCCAAAGTGAGCACTAGAAGATTTCAAAAGACAATCATATTCATTATTAGTGATAAATCTGTTTGCTCAAAAAACTGTATTCCAATCTTAGAAGTGTCCTGTCTAAAGTTCATATATAAAATATAATTTGAAGCATCTTAAAATTACCTGACTACTTTTAAAAATAATTTTAAAAATCTGTTCTAATTACCAGACCAGTAGAAATAGGCATATATTAGATGGCTAATATCCACTTGATGGATTAAGTTATTACAGGATAAAAGTTTTGTTGTTTTAAGTGAGATAGGCCACTGGTAGCAAACTACATACTTATTTTGTTTTGCTAGTCTTTTGTCATTATGCATATTAATTTTTACTTAACAATGATGAAGAAAGCAAGAAATTATTTGTCAGCAAAAGATGCTAACAAATGGTACTGAGACATATGAAATCATGAAATAAATATAAAATGTATTATAACAATATTTATGTTTTATTTTTATTCTGATGAAAGTTTGTAGAATGATTAACATTTATTTCTTAGCACGTTTTTTACAATTTTTTGCTACACATATCAGAAACATGTAATGTGTTTTAATTTTACTGTGTTATTAATAAGCAGTTCTCAAATTTATGTGCCTTAAATCAATATAATTTTGATTTTTGTTCAAGTATATTTCCTGCACAGATTGACAGATACCTCTACTCATTGCAGTTGGTAAGGAACCCAAACAGATGGAGCAACCACCACGTAAAATATTTCCCTCTCTTTGTCAGTCTCACACAGGCAATTACATATTATTGGAAATAATATACAGAATTTATTTACCAGAATTACATGGAACCAGCACATACTTACAAATGAGCCAGAAAATACAATTCTACCATTTTTCCTGGAAGACATAGAGGTGGAATTATTTTTTTGGCGTCAAAATGGCTACTACATTGTTCATTATATTTTTTGTTAAAATAACAATTTATATGTATTGTAAGTTAGCATAGTGTACTGATTAGAAGTATATATTCTTAAATATATATATTTAAATTGTGGCTCTGCCATTTAACTAGCTGTAAGTTCAGCTCTCTTGTTTTGTAGTTTTTTTCTTCTGAGTATTTTGATACTTCCTGTAAAGCATTGTTTTGACTATTAAATATGGTAATATAGGTTTAAAACACTTAGAGCATTGCCTTGCAAGGATATTCCTTTAATTTTAGGAAATTTATTATAAATCCTATAAATTTAAGAGTTAGATTTGATCTAAGATTTAAATTTACATAGTGTGCAGAATTAAGTAAATTATCTTTCCCTTGAATGTTTGTGCATCTAGAGATTCAAATAAAGATACAAGGGGAAAATGTTCAACTGTGACCTTGTAGGGGCTGTGTCTTACATAGGCAAATGTAGCTTGGCTAACCTTCTAATGCTAACAGGGAAAAGGGAAAGTAGGGAAGAGAAGTTCAGACTCTGGCTCAGTAGCAAGGCTGCTTCCACAGCTTTTGGCAAGGGACTGAAATGAGTGAGAGGTGAGGACTTTATTTTTTGTTGCAAAGGTGATAGTTAATTTTCTGGTTCTGTCATGAAAGCAACTCCTAAAGCAGTAACAATAGAAACTCTGATTAGCAATAATGAGGAAGAGTCTTGTTATTGCATTTACATGGTTGATACAGAGAATTTTCATAAAATTACCACAAGGTATTAGTATTGGTCAACTTTGGGAAATGCCTTAAGCCTATAACACTTTCTTAAGTATACTCTAGGTGAGGATATATTCTTCACCTTATTGGAAATATGATTTTTTATCAAAATTAATGGCTGAATCATAATCTGGATGATTAAACATGGTAATACCATTACAAAAGTAAGTGCAACTATGAAGTAATGGTACTAGAGTTCTATGGTTCATAAAACAATACAATAGGCATTTTTTAAAACAAGTTTTAAAAAGTTTTATATATGATCAGAATAAATTTCTAACCTGATCTCTTTAAAAGTGAGCATTTGTTTGAAGATACAGATATAATAATATGACAGCATTTTAATTAAAATATAACATGCATATGTAATTCTATAGGTTCATATATCAATTGTGTATTTATTAACTAAATTATTGTTTATGGAAGAATATTAAAGCAACTGAATATCTTGATTTGGCATAATAAACCCACATGGGTTTTTCGACTCATGATATATATTGTATAAATAGGTTTTATTGGGGAAAAATCATATAGTGTAAGGAGAAAGCACGATTGATTATTTGTTATTTTGTGTCTATGACTAGGTCATCTGAAAAAGTTCTTGCTGTTTATTTGTGAGTAGACTCTTTGGCAAGCTACAAGTCTTGTTTGCACAGTGTTAACACTGACATTTATCTTTTATTCTTCATTGCCTCCAAATATTTAAATAGAATAGTATTGATAACAACAACAAAAAAAGCCTAAGGAAGATTTTAAAAAATCCAATCAAAGGATCTATTTTGGTGCTCAATTAGGGCTTCTAAGAGCACTCAGGTGAATGGATGGCCTGCTCCTTATTCTAGTTCCTCAAATCAACCTGTACCTGGTCTATGTTGCTGGACATGTTGTTGTTTAGAGTGTAGAGACCTAGTTAGGTGAACTATTTCTTTTTATTTTTCTCATTTAACTTCTTTATAATGGAAGTGTTGGAAATGACTTATGCATATGAATCAAACAGAGCAAGGTTTAGACACCATTATATCCAGTATAAAGGTCAGCTATGCATGAAAATTTGGGGGGCTTGGATAAAGTTGAGCTTCCACATGATGACCTTGAATGAAATGCAGATAAGGTTTGTAAGCAAAGAGAGTCTTCCACTCCCCACCTACAACTCAGTCTTCTAGAAAAGTGATCTCAGGTATAAACTCTGCCGTTGGATTTTTAGAGAAAGAAAAATTACCAACCTCCAGTCAACTGATTGCTATGCAACCTAAATTCTAAGGTTTCTTTAAGACCATCTACTTGTTTCTATTAACACATTTCAAAGTCCTGTCTATATAATCTCAAAACATCAGATATAATTGAAAGAATATTCAGTCAGCATGATCCTGGAAACCCAAAGCTATGGTAAAGCTTCCAGGTTCATCAAAATGGGTTTTTTTTTAAAAAAAAAACAGGAAAAATAACTGTTGTATAGCACACAGGTTTATTATAACTTATCTAAAACTCTGTACTACAAGTATTATAGAATTTAGAGGACTTTTAAAAAATATTTTAGAAACATAATACACTACATATATATGTACTATGTGACATCCCAGTGGGATCTCTGGGCAAGGGCCCATAATCAAATATAGTAATATCTGCGTATCAAAATATGTGAATATTCAACTACTTGAACTAGTAGGCACATATCAGTTGAGATCAGGTTTGCCATGAATGTCAAAAAGTTTTATTTTAAAACTTTTTGATTTTTAATTAAATTTAATAATTATGGATTTGAATTTCAGTTTTATTCTGCAAGCCAAAAATAAGGAACACTGAGATACATTAACCTTAACTAAAGTGCTCACAAAATTTCAAATTTAACATCATAAAGATCACATGAATTTATATTTTAAATGATTGAGCTCTTTTTTTTTTTTAATCTTATCAATACCAGCCAACTTGGTGACATTTAGAAGGTGCCAAGAATAAAAGATCAAGGTCAATGCAAACATGTGCTCAAAATGGTCAAAGAAATTGGTCACAAAATGTACAGCAAGAACTTCTTGTGCAGTGGACTGAGTCAAAGATACTAAATACAGAAATATGGACCAACTTTTTAGTTCTAAATATTAATACTTAAACAATCCAAGCAGTTGCTTGAATTTGATTATTTTGAACATTCAGAATGAAATTTTCATTTTCATCTGACTATGTAGTAGGATCCAAAAAAGAACAAATGCATGCAAGAGAAAAAAATTCAGTGATTAATGATTATAAACATATATGTATATATGTAAGTAAAGTAACATTAATATCACTTGAAATTGATGAGATAAAATTAGAGAGTGAGGAATTTCAAGATCATGTTTAAAATTTGAATAAAAATGAGAAAAATAAAATTTTACCTCATAAAGCATGATCCTTCTCTTTTATTTATCTATTTAATTATTTATTTTATACTCATGCATATATTCAGTTAGCCAAGTAATACTTAATGAATTCTGGGTGTACATAAATTAACGTAATATAAAACCTGGCTCTGAATTGCTCACAATCTTCAAGTACTGAGTTACACTTGCTTTTTCTCTATTGGTAAAGTGTACTTTCAATTAGTGAAATCACGGGTATCTTTAAATTTTGAGAATAGGTTCTCTGTGGCTGGAAAGATATTTTGGATTTTGACCTGGTTGTAAAATTCAAGTAGTGTGTCTGTAGCTTCACCTCCCTTTTCTCAGCAGTCTCCTTCCATTTACTCTGCATATAACATAGAAATCTGCCATTACTGTACTCACAAAATACTATATTATGTGGTGTATCAGTCCACTTTCACCCTGCTATAAAGAACTAACTGAGACTGGGTGATTTATGAAGAAAAGAGGTTTAATTGACTCAGAGTTCCACAGGCTTAACAGGAAGCACAACTGGGAGGCCTCACAAAACTTCCAATTATGGCAGAAGGTGAAGTGGGAAAAAAAAAAAAAAAAAAAAAAAAAAAAAAAAAAAAAAAAAAAAAAAAAAACACATATCTTTCTTTACAGCAGAAGAGTGAGAGCAAAAATAAGTGCCTTACTTTTAAACCATCGGATCCCATGAGAACTCACTCATGATCACAACAGCTTAGGGAACACTGCCACCAAAATCCAGTCATGTCTCATCATGTCCCTCTCTCAACATGTGGGGATTATTACAATTCAAGGTGAGATTTGCATGGTGCTGAACCACATCATGTAGTGAAAGAAGTATGAATGTTAAAGAAGTTCTTGGAAAAAATTGAGTCTTTACTTTTATTTTTATTTCCTTCTGTACCATTTGGCTACCACATAGATTCTAAGGAAGAATCCGTTCTTTGATGGGCAAAGACATTTGAGCTTAG